GGTCCTTTCTTTAGGAGCAAGTTTTGAATTTTCGACATTATTGGAAGTGCTCGCATTAGCGTCCTTTATATCTTTTTCCGCTTCACTTTCTTTTCCACCAGTTTCCACCTTAACCGTTTTTGCTTTGGTGGGACTTGAGCTCGTGAGTTTTTGTGATTTGTTTGCAATTGCTGTTTTTGCGCCTATTGTTTCCATTTCTTTTTGTTTCTGATTACTCTCGGATTTATCGACTTGTTTTGAGGCTGGCTTTGGTTTGACGGATATTTGCGAACCGCTTCCAACTGTAGCATCTGCGATATTTAACTTTACTTCATTACCTTCCTGATCATATTCACTCTTCTTAATAGCTGTTTTTGGGTTTGCGGATAGTGAAGCTATGCATGTCGTTGCAGCTTTTGTTTGCGTTTTCTGACTAAATAAATTGATGTTTGCTAAATTTTAAAATTATCGTTTTATTTGGTTTTTATGTACAATAAAGAAATTTTATTTAATCAGAGAATCTGATATGCTATAGGTATTTCTAGCAAAAAATTCCATGCAGCAGGATAGAACACGTGCCATAGAAACACAAACAAAATAAATATATTGCGGGAAGAATTTTTCTTAGCTTTTGATTACTTTTATTACAAATTTTTTGGATTTTGGTCGTTTTCAGACACAAATTCCTTGATTTTGGTCATTTTCAGACACATACTCCTTGATTTTTGGTAATTTTCAGACACACACTCCTTGAATTTGTTTAAATTCAAAGAAAAATTTGTTGCTAATGAGTATTAACATCCCAGTATTAATATCATATTAAAAACAACTCCGTGCTAAACGTATGGTGGAGGGTTAATTCAAATTAATTTTTGAGATGCGCTGATTGTAAAAAAAGACAACAAAAATTTAGAAATAAAGAGTTTCCATAAAAGTGGTTCTAAATTGTGAAATTAAAAAAAAAAGATGTCTTGAAATTAAAGAAATTCAACATCGACAACCATTTACTCTTTTAAGATTATTGAAAATAAAATTTTATTTAACAATTGCGAATTACTAAGTTAAGTTACGATTACAGCCAACACGAAGAAAAAGAAAAGATAAAAAATTATCGACACATTAGAACAATGAACGTTCGCTATATTCCAAAGCAAAGATGACTTGTGCTTCCGCAGAGTTTCTTCTAGCAGAGTTTCTTCTAGTAAGCATCAATCAGGCAGCGGTAAAAGCAAAAGTAGTGGACAGGTTCCAGTGAAAATGATAGAGATTTCTTTAAACGATAACGCAAACTATGTGGAATCTAGAAAAGTTAGTCCACAAAATAAAGTGAGTTGGTATAGCTGCGTATGGACTGCACGACTGACGATGCTTCCCATATGGGGCACGCTCCGTAATTCTAATAAACGTTCAATGGAGCGGGTTGTATATGCGTGCATATTTTACAAATGCATTCATTTTGCAGATCGACTACATATTTTAATATATTGAGACGCGTTTTATCTGAACACTTTGGCTTTAACATACACTACGTGATAAATATTTCCGATATCGATGACAAGATCATTAAAAAAGCTCGGCAAAACTAGCTCTTTGAACGTTATTCCAGCAGTGTGATGCAGGTGCCGCTAGATCAATTACTGGATGACCAATGCTCGGTTTTGATGGAAAAATCATTAACAATAATTTAGCTTAACGTAAAGGATCTCACTCGTCATTTAGTTTCTGGTGAACCCAGACGTCTTTTCGATGCATGGACCAAAACCGAAGCCGAGTTATTAACTAAGTACAATGTTACACGACAGCTGGTACATCAAGCTTTGTGTGGCAAGTCAAGCTGATACAAAAATTTAATGCATCAATGGTTAACATATTATTTTTTCGGTTCCATAGACAATGTGGATACTCGCAGTTCACTAGATGCCGTAAGAGATTTGGTTTCGTCTGCTAATATTTACATTCGTGATAATAAACTTAAATTAATAGATTTATTGCATATATTCGGGGCAATAACGGGACCTAGAGGAGCATTTGGTTTCACTGTAGGGATTTTATCAAGCGGCCACATAGATGTGTAGAGTACTGTTCTTCCCTACGTAGAAGCCACAAACTTTAATAGCACTCGAAATTTATGTGATGAACTAAGCGACAATATTCTACCGCAATTGGGTGTACGTTTCGAAGATAAGGATGAGGGAGGGTACGCCGTGAAATTGGTTGATCGTGACACTTTATCGTGCGAGCAGGAAGCAAAACAAGCCGCGATAGCTGAGCACTTAGCAGAAAAGGAATGTAAAAAACAGGTTGCAGCCGAAAAGGCAGATGTTAAGGAGAACCGGGAGAAGGTTAATCCAAAAGAAATGTTCCTCAAAGCAACCGATAAATAATCACGATTTGATGAAAACGTAAGTGTAACATAAGCAAGCAAATTGCTAACCTCGGTGTTTGAAATCCTTGTGTTTCTCCTAAATTTTAGGACTTACCAACACATGATAAATATGGCAACAAGATTAGCGCAAACCAATTGAAAAAGTTACAGAAATGGCAAGCTCCACAAGAGCAACGTGATAAAGGATACTTTGATTCTTTAGTTAATGCTTGATAAAACGAATTTTCTTTTATCAGTTTTGCAAGCGTTGTTGCCAACACAAACCGGCACATGATTTTAAAGGAGCTTCGATCAACGGCACTGTGGAATTAGTAGTGGAGATTTTAAGTGTTATGTCTGGTCTGCCGATACTGGCCATTACATTCTCAGAACTTGGAGAAATACGCAAACATCGCCCCTCATCCTCGTGTACCGGCTTCACGTTTGTCGGCGACCGAGGTCTCCGCGACATGTCGAACGTTACAATTTCACCTCCAGATAAAGCAGTAATAATGCGATAATTATTGAAAGACCAATCAGCAGTCAGTAATGGAATTTTTGAACATTCAACAGATATGACAGACTGCGGTGAACGTACATTGTACATATGTGTTACACATCTTTTTCGGCTGCCATCACCTTACTTGGGTCGTCGGAATGCCACTTTACGGACATGCCAGCCGATGATAAGCAAAATGTAATTATGTTATCATAGTTTGATTCAGAACACCAGATTTTGCATGAATTGTCATCACTTACGCCAAAAATCTGCGCTTGCTGCGCAAAATGTTGGCTCGATATATATAGTTACAAAGAATAACTGATAAATAAAAAAAAAAGAAGAGTTCGGTAAATGTGTTTTTAAATTCAAATTCCATTTTTTTTATTTAACAAAAGTTCAATTAATATTATATGTGTATATTTGTATACATCATACGGTTCTGCGTCTATACATAAGTATGTACAATAAAAGAAATGAATATACTTTCTTTTTTTAAAATAAAAAAAAAATTAAAATGGTGAAAGATTTCAAATGGATAAAAACTAAAAATACAAAGATTGCAAGTAAAACGACAGAAAAGAATATGAAGACCAGGCCATTGAGAAGGTTTATAAATCAGCTAAATCCTCGACATTTTCTTCATGTTTCACAAGCGTTCGATGATTGTCACCGAGTGATATGAACTCTGACTCATCACTATTGCGAGTTTTCGATAACACAGTAATTTTAGATGTTGCGGTAGATTTACGTGTTATCCGTGATACGGTTGCCTTCGCAATAATGTTAACGGTTTCTGAGGATGGCATTGGTAGAATACTGCTAGTAAGGGTAATTCCTGTATTAGACGAGCTGGGAAACTAATAATGTATAAACCAGAAATATCGCAATAAGAATATTAAGGAAAACGTGAATGCGAGACGGTGTGTAAAACTAATTTACCTCGCAACTATTTCGAGTATATGTGTTTATCTAAGTTTTTCACTTTATATTTTCGATTTTTATTGTCTTTTTACCTTTCTAACGCCACCAGTTATTGTTGTCGTGGTAGGTGTCTTCCCAATTGTTGCTGTTGCTATCATTTTTGCTGCCTTTGTAATTGGAGTTGAAGCCCGACGTGGCGGCGTCGCATAAAACATAGGCAATGATTCTTGCGACGGCCTTTTTAAAGATTTCGACGGTCGCTTTTGAGTGAGGCTACCTGTTCTATTAGAATGCGGACTGCGACCGGTGGAAGTGTTCGGGAAAGTGCTAGAGGGAACGTTACCCGTCGACATTATATTACCCGCTCGCGTTGACATGGTAGATTTTGTATAGGCTGGCATACTTGCTACAGGTGGCGGCACGGTCTGCAACTGATAACCGATTATATTTTTTTCGGTGTCGTAAATTGGAACTCCATCGTGAAATTGTATGCTTTTTCGTGGAATTTCATAATTTAAAGACTTTTGTTTTGTTCCCGTTGTTGTAGCCAACGATGAATCACTAACATCCTGAAGAGGTGATGAGGCGTTAGTTAAAACTAAATCGGTTGCATTAGTTTGAACAATTGTATTTGACGGCACCGTAGAAATAGACGAAGACACACTATTCAGATGTAGTATTTGTTTGAAATATTCTTCGATCAATATAATCGTATTTTCTAAATCTTTAGACTGGAATTTGCAAGTCGTCAAAAGCGATTCAATTACTCGGTGGCGATCGGCAATTGTCAACTGATCGAAAGGTTTTACGAACTTTTTTATTAAAGCATCTAAGCGCTTAAAATTAGAAAGGTTCATTGAATGATGGGGATCGCTATCTTGCTGTTGTTCTTTTTGTTGTTGAGCGACGGACGGCACTGTACAGGTAACAGATGATGATCCGTGCAAAAGATTCGATTCCTGTGAAGTAATCGCTGCACGTATTTTTGGTGTTATGGTTGTAGTGCGTGGCAAATGTCGTGCCAAAGCGTTAATAGTGGGTGAAAGTATTGCATTGGCTGAAAGCGTAGAACTCGTCGATGCCGGAGTATTAACAGCTGGCGATAGTATCGCGTTGGCAGTGAGCGTCGAAGTTGTCGCTGAAAGCGTTGTTGTGTTGGTAAACCCAGTTTGTTGGTTGCTACCTATCAATGCCGAGTTTCTCAGCTTCTCAGCTTTTTGTCTTACAACGTCGGGTACGGTGCTGCAATTGCTTTCCAATTCAGCTCGTGTTATCACTTTAGTGGTTAGCACTATATACGCAGGTATCTCTCTGATAGGTGTATGTATCTGAGTATGCATTCTAGCCGGGTCTATAGCCGGCATATTTCCGTCCAAATAAGGACAGCAATAGTCTAACAAAACACTTCCGTGATTACGATTATATTTAACTGGATGTAAAAATGAGTACAACCGTGTCCCTTTTGCATCCAAAAGGGGCGGTGTGACGCCGAATGAGGGCACAAAACTATTTTGATATGATTCCGTTTCACTGGTATTTAGTAAACGAATATTTGCGGGTTGTTGGCCGTTAATACCAGTAAACGAAGAATTCATAGCACTAACTGCTGCCGCTGTGATACTATGTGCGCGTGCCATTAAAGTCTGTGTGTCAGGCAAAGCAGGTAAGGCATCGTCATCAATTTCATGTTTGGGTTGAACTGCGACAAACGCATCATCTTCATTAGCCAGCGGTGACGATTTGACTTGTGTACAGGAGGTCTTTTCAACCGTTTTACTTAAAACTTCCGTTGGAGTTGTTTCTGGAGTATGTAAAACCGAAGAAATTGTTGGCGGAAGCAGACCACTTGCATTATTATCAGTTTGCTGACTTCCAGTAGAGTTCGTAGTATTAGATGTTATTGCGCTATTTGCACCCGATTGAGCAATTACTTGCGTAGCTGACGCTTGCCGTGGCGTTATTGTCATAAGATTGCCGCGACTTATTACCGCGCCTATACGTAGTCCTGTTTGGGGATTATTAGTTACTAAAGGCACGTGACTTACATTAGAGATCGATTGAGTTTTTGACACAATTCTTGATGAAGGTGATGATTTTGTTTTTGGTAGACAGCTAGATAGAGCAATTCTTCCATGGCTATTAGTCCAGATACCGGATTTTACTGTGAAGAAAAGCGAAGGATTATGTGAAAGGTAATAGGGAAAAGTTTAAAATATAACTTTTTGTAAAAAATTTTAGTTTTCAAAAAAATTATGCGCATGATGGATCTGCAGAAAGTTAGGGTCACAGGTGAAAATATGAGAAAGAGTTCTAAAGATTTTAATTATGCTCGAAGAATATACACAACTGCACGAAAGACAAAAATTTCAAACCACGAACTCTCTGCAATGGTACCCACAACGCAGACGAATGCTCAAAGAACTAAAACCACTCTATACGCTCAGCATGGATAAATGGAGTTCGGTGTACTATTGTATTTAAATTGCGCATATTCGGCTGTCACCTAGTCTTTTACACCCGGTACCTCTATCCTAAAGCAAAGGCTAAAGAAGAAACTAAATTTCCATTTCATCTGATACTGCGAATGAATCACTGAGAGTACATTTTAGCAGAAAATATGCAAAATATTTATCGCATGTCTATTCTAATTCATGCGTAGGGCAGAAAAACCCACTGGCCTTCCAGTTTTTTTGCGACCAGTACATTTACATTATATGTCTAGACCGATCCAGAATTTTATCATGTCGACCTCGTAGAGTCGCTGACGCTTCTTCCTGTTTGCTGCAAATGTGTTGAAAAAACAACAAAATTTTAATGATCTAAAATGTTGAGTTGGCCTCAGCCATTTTTTCCGTTTTCATACCGGGCCTCGCCACAAAGTACGACCTTTTATCGTTGCTTCTGATATGTTTTATAGAAAACAAACAAAAACAGCATTCACTTTTACTTTTGAAAAAATAGGTGCCCTCAGATTACATCGTACTATGTCCTTCGAGTGAGTTGGCCTGTTTTCAATACCAACCTGATGCAAGGACCTT